CTAAACCGGTTGTAAGTCGAGGACTAAACCGGTTGTAAGTCGAGGACTAAACCGGTTGTAAGTCGAGGACTACCCAACCGGTCGTAAGTTGAGGACTTTCCCTGCCCGGGAGTGCTGCACATGCGTGGTTCCGCCCCCTGCGCCGGCCGAGGCGTAGCTGGCAAGTGGCAGAGACGGAGCAGGCCGACCACCAGCTGGCCCAGCCCAAGGGAGGTAAGGCACCCGCCGGAAAAGGGGGAAAAAATGGCGGACAAAAAAATGGCGGACAAAAAAAATGGCGGACAGCCTTGCTTGGCAACCCCCATGAAATGGTCGATCGACCCCAAATGGGGTCCCGACCCACAGGTTGAGAACCACTGATCTAGGATATATCATATACCATGCAAAAGCAATGAGTGCAAGCTTGTTAAAAAAGAAATCCAGCCTAGAAGTAAGGAAAGATTTTCTGACAGTGAGAAGAATGAACCAGTGGAACCGCTTGCCTTCCACAGTCGGGCTGCTCCATCACTGGATGTTTTCAAAAAAACCAGACTGGTCAGCCATTTGATTGGGTTGGAATAAGGTCTCCTGCACTGAGCAGGGGATTGGATTAGACCTCCGAGATCCCTCCCAGACCTGAGTCTATGATCTGTGTTCCATGTTATCCGTATTCTCCAGATCTTTTCCGTCATTTGAAACCTCATCCTTTGAAGTGAAAACAGCAAAGTTAGAAAGCCTGAACAACCTTGTCTTCTGTAGAAGTCTCCTCTGGCGTCCTCTTCCTGTTCCCACCCCCCCCCCTTAGATTAATAATAGCTTTTATTAGCACAATTGAACACACTGTGGGAGGTAAAGGGAAGATATCTGCATTGCTATGTGCCAATTCAGCAGCTGACACTTGCAACGCTGAGGTTTCCTAACGTATAATAATTGACATTGAGAGAGGCAGGGCTGTGGAGTCGGTAGATAAATGTTCCGACTCCGACTCCTCAGTTTTTTGTACTTCCGACTCCCCGACTCCGACTCCTCTGTATTAATATGCGAATGTATTTTATACATTCCTTGAAGGAAAGAAAGGCAACATACATGTCATTACCACAGGACTACTGGCTGGGAAGCCAACAGTCTACTGTATTGAACAGTTTAAGCAAAAGACAAACACAATGAAAACAACAAAGTTTTATTATTATTTTTTTATTAATTTAATTAATCAAGTGGCTGGATAGTAGCAGCAGGCATAAACATCAGGAACAGGAACTTTACCAGTTCAAAAATACAAACCACATTATTTGGTTGTTTTAGAACAAAAACAAAGCTTATCTATATGAACCAGAAACAAAATCTGTAAAATTCCAATCTAAATTTAGTAGGAGTCGGAGTCGGTGCATTGTTTGCCGACTCCGACTCCAGGTACCCAAAATTTCCTCTGACTCTCCGACTCCGACTCCACAGCCTGGAGAGAGGGTGTCTGTTCTATAGCTAATCTTTTCGCCCTGGCTCATGTAGATTTTTGCAAGTAGCATGAGAAGCTCCTCCAGGCATTTTGCTTAGAAAGGAAGATAAGGATTCCTTCTTACGTGAGATCCATTGACCTCGTTTGAATTCCTTTTCATCTAACAGAGGGCTCCTTTCTTCCACCCATAATATATATAAGCAATAAATCAACAAGGGTCGGCTTGTTTAAAAAACGCTCTGAAGGGCAAAATGAATAGTGACAATGAAATATTATTTATCCCAAAGTGTTATTAAAGGCAACGTGTGTTATAGTTTATCACAGCCATAGGGCATCCCAAGGGAAGGTTCAGGTGCAAGGTTTTTGTTTTATTTTATTTTTTTTACCTTCTGTGATTGCTTTACATATTGGTTTTGTTGGGGTGGTTAAGATGGGCGGCCATATGCATTTTTTAAAGAAATAAATTCCGGCACACTCGGTCTTCTTTTAAGGGCGCCTTCCTTTTAGTTGATTCTTTGTCATCTCTGGGAATAATCTCCAAGGCATTAACATTCTTTGCATCTCTGCAAAATAAGCAAATACTTATGTCTACGGAGATTCTCAGTCATTCAAGTCCTTTGGTTGTCCCAAAGGTGATTTTTTCCAAAAGGCAACTGGAATTTCTTGTGGGTTTTTTTTCTTTGAAAACATCTTGCTTCTCATCCAGCTTCATCTTCAGTTCTGAACTGAAGAAGCTTCTTGAATGAGGAGCAAAATGTTTTCGAAGGAAAAAACTAGGAAAGTCCAGCTGCCTTTTGGAGAAAACACCTTTGGGACAAGTGAGGGTCTTGTGATGGGTCAAGTGGGTGTGTCAAGTGAGGGTCTTGTGATGGATCAAACAAGGACAGTGGTGGTGAACCTATGGCACGGGCGCCAGAGGCGGCACTCAGAGCCCTCTCTGTGGGCACTTGCACTGTCGCCCCAGTCCTAGGCCCTCAGCTGGGTTTTATAAAACCTTTTCGCTTTAGGCCTCCACCGCCATGTGCAAAAAAAAAAAGATTCAAGCAATGAGTCAATTTCAACTTCTCGCGGGAAAGATCTTGCAAAGTTGGAATTGATTGATTGAACTTTTTAGTCCCATCCAGTCTGCCGTTACCACGGGAGCCATGCCCAGCCAATGGGCCACACCCAGCCAATGGGCCACACCCAGCCAATGGGCCACACCCACCCGGCACCCGACAATGCATAAGTGGGTTTGGAGTTGCAGTTTGGGCACTCGGTCTCTAAAAAGTTTGCCATCACTGCTCTAGTACATTAACACAGTTCCAGTTTTTCCATGGAATGGTTAATAGTAGATTTCTTTCCAGTGAAGGATTCCCTGCATGGAATGGATGTAATACTTCCCCAAAAACAGTAGCCTTGAGACTGGTTGTCTGTCAGAAAGTCCCCTGTGGTCCAGTTGTGTTGTCAATCTCATCAGCTAGCTAAGCTCCAAACATTTTCAGTCATGAAGTCAACGCCACTTAAAAATCACATGATCTGCAACTTTGTCTTAACAAGTCTTATAATTTGCTTTGGGAATGCAGTTCCCATTTTCTGGTTATGTCAACAGATTTTCATCGCTTTCCCCTGCTAGGCCACGAAAGGCTTGCAAGAAATCTTACACCAGGGAGATATGAAAGATGAGGGCGAAGGTTCGTTCTCCGAGCTTCTGGGGTTGGTTTCCAAACATTTCATTATCAGGCTAGGTAACATCATCATTGGAGCTTAGGGGACATCAGTGTTCAGCTTATAAGGGCTTCGTGTGGTCGGTGGGTCTTGTGATGGGTCAGGTGTGGGTGTGTCAAGTGAGGGTCTTGTGATGGGTCAAGTGGGTGTGTCAAGTGAGGGTCTTGTGATGGGTCAAGTGTGGGTGTGTCAAGTGAGGGTCTTGTGATGGATCAAGTGTGGGTGTGTCAAGTTGAGGGTCTTGTGATGGATCAAGTGTGGGTGTGTCAAGTGAGGGTCTTGTGATGGGTCAAGTGTCGGTGTGTCAAGTGAGGGTCTTGTGATGGGTCAAGTGTCGGTGTGTCAAGTGAGGGTCTTGTGATGGGTGTGTCAAGTGAAAGTCTTGTGATAGGTCTTGTGATGGGGAGGTTACATCAGATGAGGATCATAGGAAGCTGTGCTGGTGGGTGGGGGTTTCCGTGGGTCGATTGAGGGTCGCCGCTGTCTCTGGTTGGCTGTGCGGTTTATTTGGATTCTGAGGGATTCATAGGCTGGTTGTAGGTCAATGGTGTCTGTACATAGAATTGCTTGTGGAGTGCCAGCCTTTGATGAACTCCCGAGCGTGGTGGGTGGTAGCGTGGCCGATGATTTTGGTCTGGCTCCAATCGAATTATGGTAATTCAATATGGTATTGTTTTAAATAGTCTGCTTAATGCATTCATTTGCTAAAGGGTAAATCTTTGTACCAGCAATTCAATATCAGACTTGTTAGCGTTAGACTATTTACACAGCCTGTTACCTACTTATGTATTCCTCACCAGTGGTGTAGGACTTCATCTCCCACAATCTCCCAGCCAGCATGAACCTTAGGGGATCTAGGGAATTGAATCCAGATTGAATAAGGTAGTCTTCTGGATACTTAGTGGTCCAGGGTCTAATCCAGGGGTAGGCAACCTTGGCTCTTTTATGACTCGTGGACTTCAACTCCCAGAATTCCTGAGCCAGCCATGCTGAGGGGAAAGGGAGAGATTCCAAGCTGAGCTATGCTGGCTCAGGAATTCTGGGACTTGAAGTCCACGAGTCATGAGGGGGCCATAGTTCCCCCATGCTGGCTCAGGAATTCTGGGAGTTGAAGTCCA